GGAAAGAGTTCCATGTGAACTATTGCAGTAGGTAATGCCATACATTAAAGAACCATTGCTTCGATGAAGATATATCAAAATATTTTCCAGTATTATTTTAACCTTTTCCAGTGAAGCAAATGGACTACAGTTGTTATTAGTCATATGGAGAATAAATGAAGTCAGAAAAAAACAACCAAAAAACCCCTAACTGAAATCAAACTATTTTTTCCTTTGTCTTATATACTACAGACATAGGGTAAAAGTCTTGATTATTATAGTAAATTTGCCAAGAACTTTAGTGATGCCAGAATCTCACTTCTAATTTTTCCAGCCTTCTAAGGATTTTAATGTACTGTAACAAATCAATTCTCATGAAAAAGTGAATAAAGCCTTTCCTTCCATACATTAATAAGGAAGACTATTTTGTTTTATATTAATTAGTAAGTGAAATGGGTCCTTAAAATTAAAAAAATATATAATGGTCGTTTATCTGAAACAGTTACTAAAGAATCTGAAAACTTCAGTACATTTTAGTGAAATAGATCTCATCAGTATCAAGTTAGTTTTCAGTGACAACTTACATATTCATTTTGTGAAGATCATCAATGAAGATTTTCTCAGAATATGTTTGCTTGGTGCTACTTAGCTTCCAAATGGTCTGTGAAGATATGATTGGCTTTTCCTTGGTTTTCATTCCAGAAAGGTGAGAAAGGAGATCCAGGCATTCGAGGTATCAATGGTCAAAAAGGAGAATCCGGTATCCAGGGTTTGGTTGGACCTCCTGGTCTCAGAGGTCAGCCAGGAGATAGAGGACCCCCGGGACCACCTGGATCAGATGGAAAACCTGTATGTATAGGACCTCAAACTTGTCATTTTGGGTACCTTAAAAACTCCAAGCAAATGCATGCTGTCTGTTTTTTTTAACTGTTCTCTGTTCAATTCAGGCACGAGAATTTTCAGAAGAATTTATTCGACAGGTGTGTTCAGATGTACTGAGAAGTAAGTTTGAAAGCCTCTTTACTGTTCTTTCCTTGTTTAAAGTGCTACAGAAGTTTCCTGGTAATTATAAAGATGCTTTCTTGAAAGCAAGATCGATATTGCTGATTTATCGCTTGTTTTCCTACAGGTGTGGAAATATATTTCCACCTATTTCATGTGTGGAAATTTTCATTTTCATATTTCATACCACTTTTCCATACTTCACCATCTTGTTTCCTAAAGGTGTCATATTCTCTAAAGAGAGGAAACTGTTCTTGTATTAGTGGCTAGGGGGCAATATTTTTGTATTTTATTGTTGCACCACTCTAAGCAATTTTCTGTTTGAATTCTCCCAGCCCAGTTGCCTGCCATCCTCCAGAGTGGAAGGCTACAAAACTGTAACCACTGTCAATCCCAAAGCACTTCCCCGGGACTTCCAGGACCACCAGGCCCAAGGGGCCCTGAAGGCCCAAGAGGGTTTCCTGGTTTACCAGGAAACGATGGTATTCCGGGGCTGACAGGCATCCCGGGTCGCCCTGGGGCTCGTGGGACAAGAGGTACTTACTGCGTGCATGTGTCACGGTGCTAACGACCTTTATGACTTTGTTTTCTGCTTCCAGTTTTGAATGGCATTAGTGCAGGGTGGAGTAAGGGAATAGCTGGGTTTCTATGACGAAGTGTAATTGAGGACATGGTGCAATGTGAATGTTTCACCGCTTATAAGAATGCATGTCAGAAGAAAAAATACAAGAATGCAACAAGATAGCTAGTGTTCAGTTCTACTATAGTCAGACTTTGTTTTGATCTTTTTAGAGAGTTCTTAGTGTCATGTAAATGTTTTTAACTGCATTTAGATTATTTTTTTTAGATCAAATATGCTTAGACATGGATTTCAATGTATTTCCATGTTTTCTGGTTTCTTTTCTTCCAAACTTCTTTGTTTCTGCTATTTTAAAGAACAGTATTTATTCACTGGCTATTTACTGTCTGCTAACCTGTAGGCTGATTTTTGGCTTGCAACAACCTTTATACTCCCTCTGATTTCCTGGGGTTTTCTCCTTTTTTTCTTCTTATCTCATAAGGATTTTTACTCCTTTATGCTTTTTTAAACATTCTGGTTTCTTTTTAGGTAAGCTAAGGTTTATGCTTTCAGGTAACTCATCCGTCTGAGCATTCCAGCTGCTTTCTGTGATGTATTTGCAGACTTTAAGTACGCATATATAGTCTGGAACTGGACCAAGAGACTGGGTGAAGTCCATAATTTGGTAACTGGTCCCAGCAGCAGCTGTGTTTCCTATAGCATCAAAATAATCGGGAAAGCTGTACGAAATACAGCTAGCTAGTAATGTGCCAAGGGTAGGCAGGCACATGTTCGATAAATATTTACTTTCTTTGTGACTTATTAACTGTGACCTAGCACATCAAATTCATTTTAGATGTAATGATGATTTGTCTGTAGTGCTTTTATAATTTCATCTCCAATAGGAGAATGTGCAGTTTTCCTCTGGAGCTGACACTAACAGTTCTGGCTATTCCGTAAGAGCTGGAAAAATAGGTATCTGTTTCTATGAAGAAACTGAATTTATTGGGTTGTACTAGTGTCAGAGAGCACATATTTTGCCCCTCTCAGTATTTCTTTGATGGAGATTTAATTCTGCCATATGTTGTGGAAGATTGTCTATGTATTCTGTATTCCACAGGGACATAGAATACCTTACACTTCCTTCATACAACTTCTTAAAAACTTTGCCAATGGAAAGGGAATGACAGCAAATTTCTTAATTGCCCGTCATCTACTCCCTCAACTCATAGTGGCTGTCTGCTTGAGAGGTGTTACATCAGCTCTTAATTCAGTAGAAATGAGGATAATTTAGAACCCAGTTACACTGCGCAGGTTACAAGGAAATGCTTATTTTATAACCCATTATTTGCTTTTGAACTATTAAATTTTTTATTCAGTAAGTATTATCAAATGCTGACTTCCTAATTCATTGGATGAAAATATTCTTAGTGTGCAAAGATATACATGTGTTTGCTAATTTACAGGACTGCCAGGGAAAAATGGCGCAAAAGGCAATCAAGGAATTGGGGTTCCTGGGATCCAAGGCCCCCCAGGACCTCCAGGTGAGGGATGGGTCAGCTGTGCAGATTCAGTGCATGCTAATAATTTCCAAAAACACGTGGTTTAGAAAACAATGTTGATATAATTTGGAAAAACATACATAGTTTTTACACATCTTAATTACCATATATGTTTTATGGCTAATGCCTGTCTTTGCATGCCTTTTAAATTGTCATATAATACATTATTTAATATAGGACAGGTCTTGTAGAGATTGGTACCTGAGACTGCTGTTTCTTGATAGATGGATCTTGAAGTCAGCCATTATCTGACAACTGAGCCCTGATATAATCATGTGACTTGTAAGCATTGCTTAGTGAAGGAAAATGTTCTTCCTAACAGCAGTGTATTCATGCAAAATGCAAAGTTGAGCGTTTGGAAGAGATACTAGGGCCTGATCCAAAGCCAGAGAAACGAATAGAAATCGGAGGCCTCTGTTTCATGCCATGGTGGTTCCAGATTATATGATAACATATAGCAATGTACTAAAGTAGATTTTTATATTTCCTCTTAAAAGCTGTTTTTATTTAAAGTGTTTTCCACGTGCTTTTTTTTTTTTTAAATCTTAATAAGGTATCATGTTGGTTATATAAGCATATAAGCAGTTTGTGACAAGAAGTGTCTTTTTCAGAAAATGACACTTTCTTTATCTGCATACTTCACCAAAGAGCAGGGGGCTTGTGGGTCCATACTTGCTCTTGTTTTCATTTTAATAAAAATCCTCTGTAATGTATTTGTTTATTGCCTGTGTGTCATTAAGGTCCTGAAGGTCCCCCGGGTATGAGTAAGGAAGGACGTCCTGGAGAGCGTGGGCAGCCCGGTAAAGATGGAGATCATGGCAGTCCGGGAATGCCAGGACCAGTTGGACCCCCTGGAATTTGTGACCCATCACTATGTTTTAGTGTAATTGTGGGGAGAGATCCATTTAGAAAGGGACCAAATTATTAATTTGTGACACAATAATTTAGAGTAATAGGTATGGTGCTTGTCTTTTATGGTCTTTCAGGTCTCAGGAAGGTGACCAGCAATAATCCCATAAGCAGGAACAAAAGTACCTCTGACATTATAAACATTATAAATAATGATCCCAAAGGTTATATGTTCCTTTAGAAAAGAAACTCCGATAATTTTTTTATAACTTGCATTGACTGAATCTCAAGTGTTTTTAAAGAATCATCAGTTTTAATAGGAATAAAATTAACTATAATATTTGGTATTGAGCATTTAAGTGTCCTATCATACTCCTGTTACCACTGAAGTCCTTTGCAAAATTGCTGGAGACGCCATTGGGAGCAGGATTAGGCCTTAAATGGTATTGGTCAGGTATAAATTACTGTGAAAATTTTCACATGGAGACGACATACACAGTATTTGATTTTGAAAGAACGTGGCTGGCTTTGACTTCATATGTGTGTGAATCTCATTGGCTTGTGTACATTTCATATGTCATAGCTCCAAGTGTTCTGTGAGCAAAAGCATATATCAGATTTTTATGAATTAAGAGAAATATCTGGACTTATTATGGAAGTAATGTCACCTATTTTGCCATGCAACTCTTTGCTTAAAACCAAGGTGAAATGCAAGGGTAGAACTCCCCCTGGTTCAAGAAGGGCCAAGGTTTTATTGAAGATGGTACTTTCAGCTACAAAAGGTCAAAAGGTTCCATGTGGATGATTCAACTTATATGAAAATGGCATTAAAAAATAAAAAAGAACAAAAAACTGGTATAGCTGGCTTGTAGCTATGATTTGACAAAAATAAAAATTAAAAAAATGTTTGCACAACCCCACTGTAACAGTTCTGCATAATTAAGTATTAAGTTATATATGCTTTGCTGTTTCTCCCCAAGGACTGCAGTTGCCAAATTGAAGAAGCACGTTTACAAGGAGAAAGGTCTAACTGGTGGCTGACTAGCTGCAATGTTTGTTATGCTGTTTCCTTTTTCATTTTAAGCAAGCTATGTGTAATTTTCATTGTATGCTTTGCTAATGAGGTGTATTGCTTGCTTTTACATAAAGAGCAAAGGCACAGTTCCCATGAGAATTCAAAATCCGTTTCTTAAATTAAGGCAGAGTCTTATATTGAACTTAACCGATGCTTTATAAGGGGCTTTTTCTAATGTGTTGTTTTTCTGTTGTCCTACTATCAGAGATTGGTAATATGCTTGACATTCAAGGTAAAATAAAATTTTGTAAAGAACTGGTGGTAGTTTGATGAGCGATTGCAAGAGTCGCCTCTGTCCTGTGTCACAGAAGAGTGGTGCCTGTAATACATGGAGGGATAGTTCCACCTTGCCGCTGTGCTTTTTTTTCCCCAGTGCCCTTCCATTTCCTCCGGAGAAAGCACCGTCCCCGGGAGCAGCACCTTTCTGCTGGGCTCCCGCCGCCTGCAGGGCAGGGAATGCCAGAGTGGTCAGCTGTGCTGTGCCCAGTGGCTGGGGGCCCCCCCCCCCCCCCCGCGCCCCCCCCCCCCAGGGCTGTGGCCCGCAGAAGGGTGCTTGCAGTGAGTAGCTTAGCCAAACCACAGCCTTGGTTATAGCGGAGTGCAATCATTTGCATCTCATAAAACCTAGTCTAAAAACCTCCAAGATGATTCTTGGAAGATACTGACGTGGACCTGAGAAATGAAGCTGTCCATGAAGTTGTCTCCCCGGTACACACTGTAGGACTTATGTGAACAAACATTGATTGAATTTGTGGAAGAAAGAATCTAGAAACCTCGTGTTTTGTTGCGTTCAGTCTCACACTGTGTATTTGGAAGTGAAACATGTCACTACGTCAGGAAGGAATCAGGTTTGTAGAACCTTTCCGAGCTGTCCACACTGCATGCTAATTTAAATCCACATTTAAGACACCTTTTCCAATAAGATACGTGGTGGTGTGACTGGCGAGCCTGGGAGGAAGCAAAACAAAAAAAAAAATGAGCAAGTCAGAAGGACCTCTGATTGCAGCGAATACATACAGAAAACCAGAATTCCTTACTTGTAGAAAATCCCAGTGCTTATTTTCATTATAATTTAAAATAACACAGATACGTTCTTCCACATGACAAATGTGGTGGAAAAGTTGGAAATTTTTGAATATTTCACTTTTTTTGTATTCATTTAGGCAAAACATTTCCTTCTATATCCAAACATTTCAGTTTTATCAAGAGGAAAAAAAAATTTAATGTAGTGCATTTGACAGGAAAAAAGTCTTGATTTTATCAGCCAGTCTGATTGGTAGCTTAGGTTATGATTTCATTTGACCAAATTCACACATATATCAAGCTTCAATTTGAAAAGTAGTGGTGGTTTTGTCACCCCATTAGTCCTATCGGAGGGTTGTTTCTGAATGACTCTGATGGAGGATCTATGTGTAATTTCCAGTCTGCCTCTATTAATGGCCATTTTATATACCTTCATTCTTATGCTAACGTTGTCTTTGGCTTGAGTTACTCCTTTTCTTTTGGCATCTTTTAGAAAACCAGTGTTCCCTGACAGCCTTTCGTCTGCTAGATTAGGCAAGCAACCCTTTTATTTTCCACCTGTTTGAAAGGCTCTCCAGTCCCTGTTCATCCTTGGTAGTTCTCTGCTTCACTTTTTTGAGGGGGAATGAGTCATTCCAGAAATATGTCCAGAATTCTAGGTAAGGAACCTCAGTCGTACCTCGGTGATGTTGATACTTACTCAAAGCATGTAGCTCTGTTCAGCTTCTCATTTTCTTAATTCTTGGGTAAGTTATACAAGAGTTATGTAGGTCTTCTCTGATGAACTAGTATTACCCAGATCTATTCCCTCTTCTGTTTTCTGTAGCTGATGAGCTCCTATAGGAGAGGGCAATTCAGGTTGGAGGGGACCTCAACTTAAAGTAGCTATGCTTATTAGCTCTTAAGTGTATGAGCTTGCAGTATGTAGCACTGCATTTCAGAGCTTGTTTACTGTTCTAATTCCAAACTAATTCTTCTTGTGTTCTGATCCTGCTTGCTTTTGATCCAGTCTTCGTTAGCATGCTCCTACTTTTTGTGTCAAGGTCACTACAGAAAACAGTATTGTCAGTCCAAAAACCAGTTCTCGAAGCAATCCATTTTTTACCTATGCCAATATTTCCCTTTGAATACCTTCCTTATTTTCTAATTCATTTTATTGTTCCCTTAACTGGAAATCTGTATCTTCATAGAATCATATAATCATAGAATACCAGGTTGGAAGGGACCTCAGGGATCATCTGGTCCAAACTTTCTTGGCAAAAGCACAGTCTAGACAAGATGGCCCAGCACCCTGTCCAGCTGAATCTTAAAAGTGTCCAATGTTGGGGAATCCACCACT